AAGCAAGCCCAAAAAGAGCAAGAAAAAAAGCAAAAAGAACAGGCAGACCGAGAACAAAGAACCCAAATTTACACCGCTAAAAACATGCTAATAAAAAGTTCGGAGGAATTTGAAAAAGAAAGGGAAGATAAGATACTTAATCTAGAAAAAGAAAGAATAGATTTTGTGGCCACAATTGAAAGCCAAAAAACCAAACTCAACAAACAAAGTGGTTTATTAGACTGAAATGCCGAAACCATACAAAACCAAAATAATGAAATTACCAGCTTGAAAGCACAAATCCTTACTTTGCAGCAAACAATTAATAGATTTGAACAAGAAAAATTAGAAACGGTTTTTAACTCACCATCCCAAACTATTACTTATCCCGAAGCGGAAGAAAACCAAATCAAGCCTAAAGAGATGAAAACGGCAGGCGTTCAAACCGATAAAAATCTGGATGGAACTCAGGTAATGTTTCTCGCGGGAGGTGTAGTGATTGGCTTGGCTTTGTTTGGTTTGGTAAAAATGGTTTTTGGTGGTAAAGAGAATAGTAAAGTAAATAAATGAAATAAATCCCAGTTTTTATTAGCACCGGAAAATAAAGTCAAGTAATCTTTCCAAAAACTTACCACATTTCTTCGTAAACAATTTTTTTTTAATGGACTAATCAGGATTTTTTAACCCGAGTAGAAAATTGTTGGCTGCGTGGTGTTCTGCTGGCTATTTCCATACTTATTAATTAATTTTGTTTTTTTGTTGGCTTTCCCCTTAGGCTTTTTTTCTGTCTTGTCAGAATGTATAATATAATATAGAAAGTAGAAATGGTAAACGCTCAGGAGTGGTTGGATGAGAAATATCCGAATAAGGAAGGAGTTAAGGAAATTAAAAACGAATGAGGAGGAATCTCGGGCAAACTAATTATTACCGATTTTCCCCAGTTAGAGAAAATATATGTAAGAAAAAATAAATTAACCCAACTTCGCCTAAATAATTGCTCGCAATTAACTTATTTATATTGTCGTAGCAATAAACTTACGGAATTAATTATTACTAATTGCCCTAATTTGCAGATAATAGATGCTTCTATTAATCAATTAACCAATCTTGATTTAAGTAATAATCGGCAATTAGAAGAATTGAATATTAGCAATAATCAACTAGTTAAGTTAGACTTAACTAATTGTCAAAAAACGAAAGTGCTTTATGGATTATGTAAAAAATGTAATCAATTAAATACTAGTTCTGATTGTTGTCAGACCTGTTGAGAAAGAGAATGAAAAAAAGACTTGGAGCGATTAACAGGAGAAGAGGTTGTGCAAAAGTTTGTTCACGAATGACAATTGAAATGAATTCCTTATAAGGAATTTACTAATATTGAATATTTAGCCGAAGGCGGTTTTAGCAAGATATATAAAGCTAGTTGAGGAGTAAGTGAGATTATCCTTAAAAGTCTCAACAATTCTCAAAATATTACTTTGGAGTTTTTAAGAGAAATTGCTAATATCAATTTAGCTAGACAATTTAGTGGTGGCAGCGAAAAAGGTGGAATTGTAAAATGCTATGGTATCACCCAAAGCACAGCGACTAAGAACTATTTCATGGTAATGCAATACATGAATGGTGGTAATATTAGACAGTATCTGCAGCAGCAAAAATGAAGATTAAGTTCTTTTGAACATAAATTTGAGAAGTTAAAAAGCATTGTCGAAGGATTGAACTGTATTCACAAAGCAGGTTTGGTTCACCGGGATTTGCATCCTGGTAATGTACTAAGTTGTTGAGTTAATTTAAATTGAGAAAAAAGTCCGTCGTATCACAGTGAAACAAATTATTTTGTTAGTTTTATTACCGACCTTGGACTTAGTGGTCCTGCTAATTACCAAAAACAAGAGGGCCAAAACTTTGGTGTTCTCCCTTACGTTGCTCCGGAAGTTTTACAAGGCCAACCTTACACTCAGGCTTCGGATATTTATTCTTTCGGGATAATGGCTTATGAGTTATTAGCCAACTCTTATCCTTATCCGAAAACGGACGAGATAGAGTTATCTTTGAAAATCTGTCAAGGGTATAGGCCCAATATAGACGAACTAGAAATTCCTCAATTATTAAAAGATTTGATCAAAAGTTGTTGAAATGCCGATCCTGCCCAGAGACCAAGCGCTAAGGAGCTGAGGAAGATTGTTAGTGGTTGGGAAGGCGATATTTGAGATAGAGAAAAAGATGATATTTGATTCTACGAAGCACGACACAAAAAAAAAGAGAAAGAAAGCATTGAATTCAAACAGCAGTATCAATCTATAAAAGAAAAATACAATCACTTTTCTGAAAATACTCCTTATCAAATCCATCCCTCAGCCATTACTACTAGCAAAATGATAAACACTAAGGAAATCACTACAAGATTATGTTTTCATTAACGCTATTTCTTAATGCTGTCATTTTTTAGTTTATTATATTATTTTTAGTTGGCGAACTCCGCAAAGAATTTTTTATTCTTCCTCTTGCTTCCGTTCACATTTTCGGCAAAGTCCACTATCCACGCTAACTTTTTTCTGTTCGTAGCAATTACCGCATTCGTTTTCCACTTCCTCTCTTTCGCCCGGTTTTTCTTTCTCTTGCCAGTAGGCATCGTATCTTTGTTTAACCTCA